CCACAAATTTTAAATGTGTCAAACAAGCTAAATATAGCTGTATACTATATTTTTTTATTTAACAAAACATTTATTTTAAAAAAAAAACAAAGAAAAGCAATTGACTTTAAAAAATAATTATTGTCATGTATCAAAAATATGCACAGTAATCTGTCCTCGCTAAAGGTCTCTCGGATCACCAGTTAACTACACATAAATGGAGATTTATTCTTATATTAAAGCAATGTTGTTGTAAAAAATGATAATTAAACCATATAAACAAAAATAACCGGAAGCAAAAGAAAGCAGGTGAAAAACATACTGTGTTATAATGGAAGGATGATCACAAGGTTAAGGCCAATTAATAATCAGTTCAAAGCGAAAGCAACCGGTGCTGCTTACAAAAAGACATTTGGAGCTCTTGAAAGCAGCAAGACTGTGTGTGCATTAGCATTACTTTTTTGCCTGACTATTTGAAAGAGATCCGATCACAGTTGCGTTCCAGGCACGCGTGCTTCAAGGAAGGAAACAGAAGCGTGCAACACATCAGCTGTTAGTACGAGTGATTATCCTCTCATTCAGTATTCATCTGCTTTCTTCTGCTCGCGCGAATGCATTTTTTATTTTATTTTATTTATTTATTTATTTATTTATTTATTTATGTATTTATTTTTTATTTTTTTTAGTCCTGCTGTTTCTCCATTCTAAGATCACATTTGCACGCATATTGGGTCATTCTTATAGACAAACCCTGCTTTTAAGAAAACGACAATTTAAAAATTATTTTCAACCAGCCAAAGTGGCTAGTGGGAGTGACTGTCTAACCCGCCAAAGCTAAAATCTACCCGCATTTGGCGGGTGTTAATGTAAATCCCTGGTGGTGACCATGGTGGCTATTTTGAAGTCGGCCATCTTGGATCCAACTTTTGTTTTTTCAATAGGAAGAGAGTCATTCAGTCATTTGACACATCAAACTTATTGGGAATTTTACAAGAAAAACAATGGTGTATCTTCACACCATAGACAATTCCCCTCAGATGACCCCAAAGATGAAAGTCTAAGGGGGTCAGATTGGGAGACCTTGGGGGCCATTCAGCTGGCCCATGACGACCAATCCACTTTTCAGGAAACTGTTTGTCTAGGAATGCTCGGACCTGACACCCATAATGTGGTGGTGCACCATCTTGCTGGAAAAACTCAGGGAACGTGCCACCTTCAGTGCATAAAGAAGGAAACACATCATCATGTAGCAATTTCAAGCCAGTGGCCTTGAGGTTTCCATAGATGAAGAATGGCCCCAGATTGAACACATTTTATAAGTGGTCAGAAACTTGTAAATAACTCATGAAAGAATAAAGTTAAGTTAAAACCAAGCAAACCATTGTTTTCTTGTGAAATTCCCAATCAGTTTGATGTGTCATGACTCTCTTCCTATTGAAAAAACAAAAGTTGGATCCAAGATGGCCGACTTCAAAATGGCCACCATGGTCACCACCCATCTTGAAAAATTTGTCCCCTCACATAGGCTGTTTCTCAATTCCAAGAACGCAGAGAACGGACTTGTGTTCTTGTGGAGAGCAGTCTTGCCAGGTGTCCTCGGAAGAACGAACTCAGGGCAGAGAACGCGTCCTTTGAGAAATGGGATGCTGCGTTCTTCCTGATGGTCACGTGACCTTCACGTCTTTTAAATGGTAAATTATTTAAACATTACAGCCTTCATACAACGATTTATTGTTTTTCCCTTTTCAAAATATATACTTTGCATAAAAACATTATAAATCTATGTTGCACAATATGAATAAAACAGATTTTAATACGAATTTAGCAAACAAACACCCTTAATGTGTTTATTCCTTTATTAAGATGTTTATGGTAATGTTTACTTTCACCGTTTCATTTAGGGAAACTCCTGATGTAAATAAGTCATATCTATGAACTTTAATAATAAATCTAAATAAAATGCAGCGCTTCCCACCTCCAGTCGCAATGACTTCTGGGACTTCCAGAGCGAGTTCGGAGCTCAAGTCTGCATCGTTGTGTCCTTGATATCAAGATCACATCCGGGAAGTTTCACGCGTCCTCCGTACTTGCGGCCTTGAGTATTGGAACTGAACTTGGGCAGCTGATGATGACGTTGCACGAGAACACGAGGATGCAAGACCGCTGAAGAACGCATATTGAGAAACAGCCACATACTGATGTGTCACAAACAGAACGTTAATATCACCAACCAATCCCATTTTATTAAGGTGTATCCATATAAATGGCCCACCCTGTAAAATTAAGGTGTTACGTGAAGTGTTTTTTTAATATTGCATCACCAGGCTATTTACGTTTCCTGCAGAGGCTTATGCAATTTTGGGTGTTTTATCCTTAATTTTTCGACTTTCACGAGTGAAATTGGACAAACTTGGAGGGGACGTGTGTCCTAAAAGTTTGAAAACCCCCTATCTAACCTAATGTTAACATCTTATGAGGTTGCGTGCCTGCTGGGCCATAACTAAATGCACTACAGAATGTTACATGTACACATCCCCATATGACATGTAAATGCTTCAGGTTTTTACAGTGTAATACTCACTACTCTTAAGTACCTTTGAAAGGTCTATTTTTTACTTATACGTTGAGTAATATTTACAACAGATACTTTTACTCTGCTACATTTTAGGCAAGTAATGGTACTTGTACTTAAGTATGATGTTTCAGTACTCTTTCCACCACTGCCTGTGACACGCTCCCTGTTTTGTTTACCATGGTAACTTACTTTGAAATCACATGCGAGTATGGCTTCAACATTAACGACATTAGCACTTATTTGCCTGAGAACAATGCTGTACTTTAATAGTCATTGCCTGCTAATACGATTTCACTATTTAGAATTTGCAAAGAAATCTTTTCTGAAACATATTTTTAAGGAGAAAGTCCAAATGTGTGAATAAAGACAACTTTACCTCCATAACGTCCATGCACCTTTTGATACAATATAACAACTGACATGCTGAAATCATGACATTTCAACAACCTGACACGTAAATCATCAGCCACACGTTTCCGGCTATTGCGCAATGCTTAGCAAAGAAAGACCCTGGTTTAATTATTGATCTGGACAAAAAAACAAACAAAAAAAAAAACACATGACTGGCTCAATTTTCAAATAAAACTTACTGTCCGTGCATTTAAAGGCTACACAAAACACCCATCCCCCTCCCCCCCTCAAATATCCTACAACTTCAGCTGCCATGTGAATGAACGCCTCTATTGAACCGATTCATAACGCATGCACACACAAAAACCGCAGGGGTAAAAAAAGAACACCCTGACATTCTCCTCAGGTGGTGCACGCTCACGCACAACAGGTAATGCATGCACAAACAGGGGCGGTCAAGCCGTGCGCGCGCCTTTCCCTCCGGTTTTTGACAGCAGCAGTGGTTCCGCCTCAAGCAACCGTGCAAATGCTTTATTTCATAGCCATACCTCGCTTTCCACGACATCGTGATACGCAGGCGGAGGATCAAACCCTCCGGTGACCGTGCGCCCGCTGTTCTCGCCATCTCCGCTGCCCGGGGAAGGGCCGCTCTCCATCGGCTCGTAGCCGTATCCTAGTCCCGGGCTTTCGTTGGTGAGCAACGCGACAGCCTCGTTGATGTCGTTTTTGGCCAGTCGCAGGGCTTTCCGGATGGCCACCGGGTCTGGGAAGCCCATGCACAAGAGCGTGGTCATATGCTGCTCCTCCTCGGTCTCCATCATGGAAGTGTGTCGGTGGTCGGGGCTTCAATACCGGGGCACATCGCACAGGCATCCGGCTGTGCACGCCGCCATGTTTACAGTCGCTGGTGCTGCTGGTATCCTGTCACGATGGATTCCCGTCACAGGCGGAGGGCAGCGGGGCTCAGAGCGGGCCACGCCAGGCCTGTGAAGCCAGACACTCCGAAGAAGCGCCGTGTGGGTGTAGACCGGAATATTTTTCAAAATAAAGGCCAAATAAAAAAAAAAAATGAAATGAATAAATAACGGTGATTACAATTAAACAATTGCATGTGTAAGATGTAAATATAATAATATAAGTTAATATACAAATACATCATGGCTTGTGAATGAATAAAATTGTAAAAATCAGTCGAATATGATTAATTAAATTTGTACTATATAGTATTAAAATGATTGTTATGGGGGTTTAATGGAATTGCTCTATTGATGTAAGATTGATAAGTTGTAGGTTGCCAAGGAAGTTATTATTTAATTAGGTTAAACTTAAGTTAAATTAATGCCATCTGACCTAGCTGGGCCTCAAACCAGTGACCATCTTGCTGTGAGGCGACACCGTCACCCACCATGTCACCCACAGAACAAATTTACAAAATGTTAATTAAAACTAAATTCTAAAATTAAAACTATTAAACTACACTTACTAAAACAAAATAATAAAGCATACAAATAAATAATGAAACAAATACTCAGTTTTTACATTTTTTGTTTTAACATTTTAAAATGTTAAATAAAAAATAAACAAAATAAATACATTTACATACATATAAATAATACAATGGCAGAATCACACAGCAGAATTACTTTAAAATACATAAATTAAAAAGAACTTTTATACCAATAAATATAATTATATTACAACTACTATTATTTTGAAAAGCTTTTGACCGGAAATGCATGTAATAGTAGCTCATTGTTGCTGACTTCAGTTTTTTTTTCAACTGGCAGAGTTGACACAGCCCCACCTATCTCTGTATAAAACATGTGTATCTTGATATACAGTTAATAAATTATATCAATCAATGGCCCACATTTTGTTTTCAAATTTATTTAATAAATTTATTAGATGCATGCAAGGAAAAAATACACAAAAAAAGTGGTATCAACTAATATGACTATTTAAATTAAAATATTAATATACTTTTCACCTTCTTGACACATCATACATAAATCTGTTTGGTTCTAAAATAGTCCCTTTCGTTTCACTGCACAAGAGAATAAAAATAAAAATACGGAACCGAGGAATCACGTGAAACCGGTCCTGCTCATGTGATGTGAAAATGGCCGCTACGGGGGATGAGGCCGCGGCGATGGACAGCATCAGTAAAGCACCGGCTCCCCCGACAGAGCTCAACCTCACAGCCGAGCCCGAGAACAGCAGAGAGGCGACCACCAGCGACACGACAGAGAACCAGAAACCCAAAAGACCCAGTAATAACAGTGAGCTGCAATTGTAAACAACACTGTTTGTGTGCTAGTCACTGTGCATGTTAAGTTCTGCAGTGATTCTCTTTACGTTGCTGCTGTCGATAATGTTGTGTTTTTAACTAATGCAACTTGTTTCTGGATATATTTCTGTTATTCTGTTCTTGAAAGACGCATTTCGTGTATTGACTTTAAATATTTGTATATGGCAAGCCGTTTTAACAGTTAATCAATGAAACACAGCCTGCAAGTATTTTCATGCTACAGTTCACTCAAGCTTATTTCCTGCTTTTATCGGGGCCTGCCACAGCGAAATGAACTGCCAATTGTGGTTATGTTTTTTATGCAGTGGATGTAAGCGCCGGGACTTTCGATCTTCTTGCTGTGAAGTGACAGCTCTAGTAACATGCTACTATTCGTTCATTCATTTTCCTTCGGCTAAGTCCCTTTATTTATCAGGACTCAGCACAATGGAATGAACCATTACAACCACTACAGCCAATATTTAATTCACCACTGTTAGGGAAACGGGAGCAAACTCGCATGAACAGAGAGAGAACATGCAAACTCCACACAGAAATGTTAACTGACCAAGCCGGGACTCAATCCAGCAACCTTCTTGTGGTGAGGCAACAGTGCTAGCCACCGTGCCACCCATTATGCTACTAATATTTTATTTTAGTAATTTTACCATCAAGTATTAGTATTTATTAGATGACTAGTACTCAAATAATCATGTTTTTCCTGTCTCAAAATGAGGCTGAGGTGTTATTCTGTCATGCTGGATTTTAATAATTGGTGGAGTGCAGCAGGGCTCAGAAAGGGCCGTGAAGACATCATTTAAAAAGGCTACCTTTAAACGTAATTAAATACGTGACCAGTGCTTGAGCATCACTTGTGGTCTCTAGGTAGCCATGACTAGGGCCAGACGGAATCTGGGAACGTTTTTTGCTATTTCTGCTGAAAATTTTGGTAAAAAAAATCTACTGATCTCTGCGGAATAATTTTGGAGTATCATAACTAAAACCTTAATATGTAAAATAAAAAAATGAAATTAAAAAAAAAAAAAAAAAAAATATATATATATATATATATATATATATATATATATATATATATATATATATATATATATATATATATATATATATATATATTAACTTTTATTTAATGTTTAAAATAAAAATCTTATTAGATTCACTTGATTTGATAAACAAAGCAAGTGCAAGTCTCTGATAAAATATATCTACTAAAAAACAGAAAATATTATTTTACAAATTGCATTGTACATAAATTAGACAAACATTTTTACATTACTCAATAATATGACTAATTAATAAAAACCTGAATATATATAGATTTACACACAGTTACTCGAGTAAATAAACAGAACTAATGATGGGCTAAAAATCTGTGGAATTCTGCACGCGCAGATTCCGTGTGGGCCTAGACATGACTACCTGCCTAATTTTTTGTCAAAAGGCAGAGGTTGTATTATTATTGGAGGTGCCTTTTGAAGGTCATTACCTTGTAATTAACATTAATTTTCCTTCAACTTAGCATATGTTTTAACCAACCCAGGACTGGCAAACATCCATACGCACTCATTCACACTCATACACTACAGCCAATATTTAATTCACCTATACCGCATGTCTTTGGACTGTGGGGGAAACTCAGGGAGAACATACAAACTCCACACAGAAATGGCAACTAACCCAGCTGGGATTCAAACCAGCGACATTCTTACTGTGAGGCAACAGTGCTAACCACTGAGCCACTGTGTCGCCCACGTAATTACCATTTTAAAGTTATTAATACATGTTTTCTAGATACTACTTATTAGATACTACTTATTTATTAGATATATTAGTTTATCAGACATTCATTGATTAGACACTTTGTACTTATTAGAAACTAGTTAATTAATCAGTAGTTCTTTATTAATTACTAGTACTTATTTCATTAGTGACTATTACTAGTAACAACAGAATCATCATGTCACATTTGTGCCAGTGGCTTCTATGGTCGTCTGTTATTCAGATATTAAGTGTTCAATTTTGACTAGTGTTTATTCCATTTGTGAAAGGTACATTATTTATGTACGATCAATAAAATGGCAGATCTGAACAGTAACATAACTGTTGTTTCTACGATTACAAAGATAATATTGCTCATTTTGTAAAATAAAACCTTCTTACATAATGCTTAGGTCATGCTGATAAAGCTGATTAAAGCAAAGGTGCTTGGCATCTACATTTTCTGGATCAGAAGCAGACGTGAATTTATAAGGTAGTAGGTAGTATAAGGTAACCTTTTTTTTTTTGTCAAACACCCGACGTGTTTGGCCAATCACAATGCACTTGATGGCTAGCCAATCAAAGCACACCGCAAGTTTAATACAATGAAGCTGCGTCCAAAATTGCATACTAAAGTACACCCTCAGAAAAAAGGTACACTGTTGTACAAATAATGTTCCTTTTTTTTTTTTTTTTTTGTAAAAGTTGTACCTTATATGGTACAGAAAAGACCTCTTATGATCCTGTTCTTTTTTCTTTTATGGTACAACTAAAATGAAGGTACACAATTGCTCTCATATAAAAGGTACAATAGTGTTGGACAACTACTTTATTACAACACCTATGAAAATAAATAAGACTATAAAGGTAAAGTGATTTTATGAAAAATTTCCATATTAAAACATAAATTATTTGCATTGCACCATTTCTTCTGAGAGTGAAGGCACTACATTTGAGTTAACTACACAACTGTTAGAAAAGTACTTTCTATATAGTATGAATGTGAGTCGTATGAATGGAATTGGATCTAATACGTCTGCCATTTGTCATTATCACATTACTTACATGACCTACCTGCACAGTTACATTGCTTCACTCCCATTCATAATTTCTCTTGGATGGAGCAGAGACAAACAACAATAATGTACGGTCTATGGGAAAAAACTTTTGTAAACTTTAACTTAATATAACAATATACAAATGCACCAAATACACAACATAATGTTTTTTTTTTTTTGTAGGAACGTCATATGTTTCTTTTAATGAATGCTTACTAGTACATTACTAGTCACTATTGGAATACTTAAGCAAAAGTCTATGAATGACATCAACAATGGATGATTTGGGATTGGACCATAAAACTATGGTCCAATCACAACTGGAATACATACTAGCTAAAACTGATTTTTATTTATTTTTTTATTTATTTTATTTTGACATCTAGGATTAACTAGCCCCTATTGTGAGAAATAAATCCCAGTATCAAATAAGTAAGTACAAACATTAATGTGGCATTAATTCAATTCAATTCAATTCAGCTTTATTTGTATAGCGCTTTTACAATGTAGATTGTGTCAAAGCAGCTTCACATAAATGGTCATAGTAACTGGAACAGTGTGGTTCAGTAACTGTAACAGTGTAGTTCAGGTTTTAGTGTTTAAGTTCAGTTCAGTTCAGTTTAGCTCAGTTCAGTGTGATTTAATCATTACTGAGAGTTCAAACACTGAAGAGCAAATTCATCGATGCGTAGCTCTACCAATCCTGAACCATGCGAGGCAGTGGCGACAGCGAAGAGGGAAAAAAAACTTCACCTGATGGGAGTGAAGAAAAAAAACCTTGAGAGAACCAGACTCAGTTGGGCACGACCATTTTAATTTCTCCGCTGGCCAAAAGTCTTGTGCAGAACTTCATTCGCCGTGGTTTATGCTGGAAGATGGCCTCAATGAAGACTCGTCTGTCCCTGGAGCGTCGCTGGAATCAGACACATGTTCTCCACTACCCACGACCATCAGCGCAGCAGAAGCTCAGGATATGGCCTGGTCCCGGATATGGAATCCTTGGGATCATCTTGGATCTGGTCTTGGATCTGGTCTTGGATCCAATCAGTGACTCCGCCTAATTTGAGGACCTCAGGATGAGTATCCCCAGGTGAAAATAGAGAATAAAGAGAATAATTAGCGTAGCTGCTGTTCATAGTGTATAAGCAAGATGCAGAAGCCAGTGTGGAACCCGCTAGGTGATGCATTGAGTGTATGCTTTACTAAACAGATAGGTCTTTAATCTAGTTTTGAACTGGGAGAGTGTGTCTGAGCCTCGGACGTTATCAGGAAGGCTATTCCAGAGTGTAGGAGCCATGAAAGAGAAGGCTCGACCTCCTTTACTTGATTTTGCTATTCTAGGTACTACCAGAAGCCCTGAATTTTGAGATCTTAAAGAGCGAGTTGGTATTAATACATATTAAATAGATCAGTAATCGTATATAATGATTACTAAGTATTAGTGTCTATTTAATAGTTAAAAGTGTCTAATGAGTAATAATTAGTACTAGTAGCATAAAAATAGATACTAGTTTGTTGTATAAATTAAACTTTTAAATGGCTTGCCATATACAAATGCCAAAAAGGTTTTTAAAACACTGCAAGCTGCCTTGCTAGACAGCTCTTTTGAGCACCATAAGCATCTAGAGTCTACATGTAATGCTCAGAAATGACCGGTTCTCTAGGTCAAGGTTCTTTAAAGATGTTTGCTGTCTTTTGTAGATGACGGAGGTGTGGAGACAGCAGAAGAAGCCACTGAACCCGCTGAACCAGATATCAATGAGCTCTGCAGAGACATGTTCGACAAAATGTCGGTTTTCTTGCAGGGAGAGCTCACTGGTAATGATGATGATGATAATGATATTAATAATAATAGCAGAATAACTTAAAATATTTGGATATTGCAGTTTTGTGTTTCATTTTTGTTATTCTTTCAGCTACCTGTGAGGACTACAAACTCCTGGAGAACATGAACAAACTCACCAGTTTGAAGTACATGGAGATGAAGGACATATCTATCAACATCAGCCGAAATCTGCAAGACCTCAATCAGAAATGTGAGATGTGAGGTTTTAATACGCAAAACCATCCAACATATTTTGGTCAAATACAAGAAGTTCCTCTTTGGTGTTGATTACACAGTACACGAAGCACATTCAATGCAGTGTTTTATAAACATTTGTGAAAACAAAATGTTATGGAAATACTCTAATACGTGCCCTACTAAAGAAATAAGTGACCATACTAAATTTGATTATTTATTCACTTAACACATTTATTTATTCACTTAATCACATTTAATTAAATGATTTAAAATTCTTGCTGACAAATGGATAAAAAGGCATGGCAAGTTTATTTGTAGAGCACATTTCATACACAATGGTACTTCAAAATGCTTTACATAAACAATAAAAACATGAACAAAAATTATTAAAAACAGATTCAAATGTGTTAAAACAGGTTTTAAAGAAATAAAAAGAAAATAAAGACAGGATAAAAACTAGTGGTTTGAGGGATTGATGCAAGTTAAAAAAAACTTAAAACTAAAATGAATTTGTAACATCTATAAGATTTGCTATTTTTGCTATAAAAATGTTGTTAATGTTATTGGGTGTTGTGTATAAATCAGGGATTACCAAATTTGTTCCTGGAGGGCCGGTGTCCTGCAGACTTAAGCTTCAACCCTTATTAAACACACCTGAACAAGTGAATCAAGCTCTTACTAGGTATAGTTGAAACATCCAGGCAGGTGTGTTGAGGCAAGTTAGAGCTAAACCCTGCAGGAACACCGGCCCTCCAGGACTGAGGTTGGTGACCCCTGGAATAAATGATAAGAAAATGTATAATTGCCATATTTATATGGCTCAGATTTAATTATACAGTGCACATAACATGCACAAATTGTATTGCATTTTCATTGCTTAGATGCTTAACCATTACATCTAAACCTTTATTTTGTGATTTTTATAAGTTTGATTTGATTTCTGAAAAGCGATTATGCTAGCTATATGCTGATCATCCTAAAACATTTATTCCTTTTTCAAATTTCATTTGAGGTATTTATTTAGATGTGTGTACAGTGTATATATTTTTTTCTTTTCGGTCATTTTTCTCTTAGATGCCAGCTTGCAGCCTTATCTGGATCAGATTAACCAGATCGAAGAGCAGGTTACAGCTCTGGAACAGGCAGCTTATAAACTAGACACTTATTCAAAAAAACTGGGTGAGTAAAATAAGCAACACTTTCTATTAACCACGGATCTTTATAGAGATATTAAGGGCTCTTTTTTGACTATCCATGTGCAAAGTGCAAGGCGCAAAAGCATTAAGAGTGTGTCAGAATCTACTTTTGCTAATTTAAGGACGGAAAAATCTGCTTTGCGCTGTGGCGCATAGTCTTACAGGGTTGAGCTTATCCTCTTAAAGGGGTGGTCCACTATGATATCGTATTTTAAACTTTAGTTAATATGTATTATAGCTGTGTGAACACTTTGCATTGATTGTCTTTAGGCAGCTTTTCCTTGTGTTTCACATCTCAGATAATGAAGTCGCAAAAGATATGTTGATGATTCATATTACTTACACCTGCATATTCCGAATATATGTGAAACACGTCGTGTATTGCATTGAGTAAAAAAAATATAGAAGAGCTCGCCTCACTCGTGTAGCAGCAGAAAAACTAGTCAAGGCTCACACAGGTCTCATCTTGTGCTTTATTCTTCTGTCTACAGCGTCACTGTTTATTACAGAATAATAATAAGAGAGAAAGAAAAATAAACATCGGTCCCGTGCACATGTGCTTCTCGTGTTACGTTCTCACATACACGCACACATTATGGCGATCTCTTTTGAAGGAGCCACAACCTATTTGCACTTGTTACAGACACTTGTCAGGTTTTATTTTATTTTAGAGAGTTTGCATAAAGTTGACTGTTTACACAGCACAAAGTGCGTGCTTGTATGTGCGTGACGTGGAGCCAATCACAGCACATTTTAACAGATGACCAATCAGAGCCTCTTGAGTGTGGGCCTTTCGGAGAACTAGGAAATATGACATTCATTTTTATGTTAGCTGAGTAGCTGTATATAATGAAAGTAAGATTTATGAAAAAAATAATGTGGTTTCCTTCAAGTGAAACATGAGCACACAATGCTTTGCATCTTATAAACACAACCAAGCCTTAAAATTACATTCTGGACCACCCCTTTAAGTGATTAAAGAATGCAATAAATTGTTGCCATTTTTCAAAAAAACTGTTCTCCCTTACCTCTGATATTGTATTTAATTTTCTAAAGTTTTAAAAAAGAAGACCGGTCCCACTTTATATTAAGTGTCCCTAACTACTATGTACTTACATCAAAAAAATAAATACAATGTACTTACTGTGTTTATAATGTATTTGAGAAAACTTGTGGTGCTTTTAAGTTGGAATAGAGGTTGGGTTATGGACAGGTTTGGTGGCATGGGTAGGTTTAAGGGTAGGTTATGGTGTAAGGGATGGTCAACAGTGTATTTACAAACGTAATTACAAGAGGTAATTACAGATGTAATTACATACATGTATTTAATCAAGCATAAGTACACAGTAAATACATGTGTTTACACAATAAGTACATTGTAACAAACTATTATTTCCTATGTAAGTACATATTAATTAAGGCCACCTAATATAAAGTGGGACCAGAAGACCAAATCTTTGAGCCACAATGAAATAGAGGGGGGTTGTGGGGAAGTCCAAGACAACTGCGCCTAGCGAGAAGAGATGCAAAAGCCACAATGTCAGCGTGTCTCCGGTTTAAAGGTTGACACTGAGAGGGAACACCAAAGATCGCATTTAAAGGGCAAACTAAGCTAACTTGACCCTCAGAATATCAGAAACCAATTTAAAGAAAGTAATCCAATAATTTTGCAACTTGGGACAAAATACAAACCTATGACTAAGATTACATGGTGAAAGTTTACATTTATCGCACATATCTGAAACACTGGCGTACATTTTAGAAAGTTTGGCCTTTGAGATGAGCTCTGTGTATCGTTTTAAATTGTATAAAACTGAGTCTAGCTCATGAAGTTTGTTGTTTTTTAACATAAATACTTTTTTTTTTGTCTTTTGTAGGTTAAGGATAAAATATAGTGATTTTAGTAGCTAAAAAAAATATTTATGAAATTTTTGTAAATCACCAATGACCTGCTCTTATTCTCACAACACCCACTTTGGGAACCGCTGGATTAACCGATTAAATGAACATTAGATGGCGATATTAGACCAAAATAGATGCTCTTCTGTTAAAGTAGTGAGCTCATTTTCATATGATGCTTGGTTGGGAAATACTTTCTCTGTATTTCATATGTCAGACCTTTGTAAATAAATAATTCTGTTTGTGTGTTTATTCACAGAGGCCAAGTTTAAGAAACTGGAGAAGCGGTGAAAATGATCACTCCGTCATACTCATCCTCAATGTTTTTACAAGCCTCTTAGTGATCATGTCTATTTTATGTACTAAGCAATCACCAAACCATCATCACTATGGCACTGTCACACCCTCCAAGTTATAGCATTAAGTACATCACACAGTGAATGCTCCTTTATTGTTCACAAGAGTTAAGACTGTAAAGAACAGATTTCCTGATTTCAAAATCCACATTTACAATACAAAGCATGAATACAGAAAAACCTGTAGAGTGTATTTAAAATGGCCTAATTTATGTTGTTCAAGATGATTATTTCTGTTCAATTTTCTGTGACTTATGAACTTTTCGTATGCCTGTGATTAAAAAAGAGAATGTTTTGTTAAGCATTTGTATTACTGAATAATTATTTTCAATAGTATTAATAAACCTAAAATGTCAGCTCGTCAATTTTTGGAATAAAAATAACTGATATTACAAACTGTATTAGCATATATTCCTCAAAATGAGTGTAAAATTAGAGCAATGACTATTGTATAAAATTCAGTATCTGTTATCAAGGATTTTGTGCACATCTGCAAGGCCCCAATGGTCCCCTAAGGATTTTTTGATTAATATGCAAGGTGTTTTTTGACCCCAGTATGCTCAAAAACGCTCAAAACTTTGCATACACTTTGGAATTGCGGTTTCTTACAAGCAAGGATTACTAGAGGGTACTTGGGCCTGCCACTGCAGTAATGTGTATATATGTAAGGGATAATGTTTATCTAAGTGTTGCTCTCACAGAAAAATAATTGTGCAAGACTAGGAGCTTTTATTTGTTAAAAACAAGTTGTAGACCTAAATGCAGTGGCGTAGGCCTGCACTTTCAGATGCCACCCCCGACCCCCTGAATGCAGCCCACGCTAAACTACGTAATTGTAACTATGCTTGCAACTGCTCTAGGTGCAGCTCCATCTCTGGGCTCAGTGGTTCTCCTGGTGCAGCTCCATCTCTGGGCTTAGTGTAGGACAAATGGTAGCAGTGGTCATGGGCGTTGCTAGGCCTATTTTAGGGGGACTGTAGCATTAGAATGTAATTCATAAACAAGTGTTTATTGACTTTACCTCTTGCTGCTATTTTGCTTTCGAGACTGTGCTTGTAAATACAACTACTCTACGGGCAGCTCTACCTCTGGGCTCAGTGGGTCTCCTGGTGCACCTCCACAGCTGGGCTTAGTGGGTCTCCTGGTGCAGGTCCACCTCTGGGCTCAGTGTAGTACATATAGTAGCAGTGGTTACAATCTTGCATTCCAAGTGTTTGTTGCATGATGACTTCATTAATTGAAGATAGCTGACAGTGATAGTCATATGCTAAATGCACCAGACATTGTTAAAGATTTTATACATGGAGGTCAACGGAGCTTAAAATAAAAAAAATAAATAAATGGTTATGTACAGTATAGTATGATTTAATATTTGATACAGTTTACAATTACAATTGAATAATTTATAAACTACAACTTAAAATAAAATGTCATTTTAACCTGCTAGAATATATATTCTATGTTTTCAACAATGTAATGAATTGACTCATATGATAATAAAAAGGATATTTATCAAATATGTCAAGATAAATAACTATTTATGGCTTTTACACAAAATACGTAGAATTTATTGCATGCTGTAAAGAAATCAGTTTAAACTGAAACTAAGTTATGTTTCACTTCCGATATAGTCGACATATTTATAACTTTGAAGTGTCAAAATGAAGTAGAACAAGGATGTAGTGATAATAAGTTGTTACAATTAGCACTGAATATTTTCCATAATTGTCCCATTTTGCTAATAGGCAGTTTTACCATTTTACTTCTTTGTTGCATGATGCCTACATATATGGACAGTCATAGAACTGAATAAAATCGTATTTTGTAAATAATTTACTGGATTTAAATTTTAGCATCATATTAAAATACTACAAATATTTAAAAAATCTAGATAATGTGTTCCATAATTCATGCTTTAAAGCTCTTCAGACAGTAATGTATAAATGAGCGTTGCTGTGATTGCGACTGCAATTGCTCGACATTCAGGGTCTCCTGGTGCAGCTCCACCACTGGGCTCCGTGGGCTTCCTGGTGCAGCTCCATGTCTGGGCTCATCTGGTCTCTTGGTGCAGCTCCACCAATGAGTTCAAGCCAAGAGTTAAATATTGTTAAATATCTGACAATAAATGCTCACAGTCAGTTTTCTGAAGCACCAATAGACTTTATTCTTTTTATGTATTTTTTCAGTTATGATATATAAAACGTCTGGTGTAGTATATGTGGTTCACTATTATAATCAGTGGAGGAAAAAAAAAAACCTTGAATTAAAAATGGTCACTGTGATCTTTACTGATGTTTTGAACTCCTTTAAAATGTTTGCCATTTTGGCAAAAGTTTTCTAAATATTCCTTTTGTTAGTGGTTCTCTATTTGAGAAATAGAAAGATATTTTGGACATATCCAGAACAACTAGTTTGAATAAAAGTTTGAATAAATTTCAGACACAATTCCAAGCCAAGAATTGAGAATATCCCCCTGTTCATTGACATTGACATTCACCCTGTCATTATATAAGTAAATTAATTATTATAGGTAATTAACAGCTTAATAATAATTAAAACCAGACAAAATCTAATGTTTGGAATGTTATATTAAAAAAAAACTCTTAACATTAAAGAATAATTTTAATGTTCTATTGAAGTTTTTTTTGAAGAATAAGATTAATAACAAAAAAGTAAAAACAGGAATGATTTTTTTTTTTATGTTAAATAGCACTTATACTGTAGAAGCATTTATCGAACATATAGAATTCCATGATGACATCATTATTAGAAGATGGCTGACAATGACAGCCATGCGCTAAAAGCCTCAGGCATGTTGTGAGACATTTTATGCAACGAGATCAATTGAATATATAAATGTACACGATTTATACACACACATACACGTATGCACAGTTAAAGTCAAAAGTATTCAAATAATTCCCAAATAATGTTCATTAAAAACAAGTTCCTTTAATAATCCGTGGTCACCACAGCAGAATGAACCGCAAACTTATCCAGCACATTTTTACACAGCTGATGCCCTTCCAGCCGCAACACATCTCTGGGAAACATCCACACACACACACACACTCATTCACACACACAATCATACACTACGGACATTTTAGCTTAGCCAATTCACCTGTAGTGCATGTTTTTGGCATGTTGGGGAAACCGTATAGCACCCGGAGGAAACCCACGCGAACGCAGGGAGAACATGCAAACTCCACACAGAAACGCCAACTGAGCTAGGGCTCGAACCAGCAACTCAGCGACCTTCTTGCTGTGAGGCGACAGCACTACCTACTGCGTCGCCCATGTTCAACAGTGCAAGGATTTATTTTCACTGTATTTCCTATAAAATGTTTTCCTCAGGAGAAAATCCAGAGAGATCCATTATCTTTAACAAAAACATTGTAAAGTCAACATTATTAGCCCCCTTAAGAATCTACACACACACACACACACACACACACACACATATATATATATATATATATATATATATATATATATATATATATATATATATTTCAAGTGGCTACAGAACAAACCACAGAACCAGTAAACCATTTATACAATGAATTGATTATTTATCCTAACTTGCTGTGTTGACCCAATCAACCCAGTAAAGCCTGTAAATTGCACTTGAAGCTGGATACTACTATAGTATCTTGCAAAAAGTCTAGTAAAATATAACTTACTGTCATAATGGCAAAGATTAAATAAATAAATATAAATAAAGATTAAATAAATGAGTTCCTAGAAATTAGTAATTAATATATGATGTTTAAAAATGTGTTGAAAAAATAATCCAATTTAAACAAACTGGAAAAAAATACTGTTTAACAGGAGGGCTAATTTTTACCTAAACTATATATAGCGCATTGATGGTTTAAAGTAAAATAAAAAATAAAATAAAAAAAATCTAAATGTTTGTAAAATAAAACTAATTGAGTAAAATGTAGTTTATATTCACCAAAACAACAGTCAATATATGTGGATATAAGAGAACTGTGGAGTCAAACTGAATTACAAGTTTAATTCTGCAACCTGTTAGTATATCTATTCTATTTTTCAACAATGTAATGAATTGTCTTATATCGTAATAAACAGACATTTTAGCAAATATATCAACATGGATATCCATTTAGTGCTTTCATGTTTTTTGTTTGATTGTAGCTATATTGTAATATAATTGTTCAATAACTGAGCTCATATAAATAGCATCATGTTATTAAGAACCCAAAATTCCATATTGTCAGCTGTGGCTTAATGTCTCATTGTACCCCTTTGTTGCATGCTGCCAAGATATGCGGACAGTTAAATAATTTTTAAATAAAACAGAATTTGATAAAAAATAAATTTGACTTATATTTTACCATCACATTAAAGTACTAAAATATTTTTAAAATCCAGATATTGTGTTTCTTGTTTCATGCAGAAAAGAACTTCAGACAGTAATTCAAGAGTATTGCTGTGTTTGCAACTGCAATTGCTCTTTATGTGCAGCTCCATCTCTGAGCCCAATGGTCTCCTGGTGTAGCTCCACTACTGGGCTCAGTGGTTCTCCTGGTGCAGCTCCATCTCTGGGCTCAGTGGGCCTCCTGGTGCAGCTCCACCTCTGGGCTCAGTGGGTCTTCTGGTGCAGCTACACCAGTGAGCCCAAGTCAAGAATTGAAAACATTTTTAATAATCTGACTAGAAATGAGGCACATTCAGTTTTTTGATGCACCAATATACTTTATTTTCTTGCTGTACTAGTGATTGTAATGTATAAAATGTTTGGTGTGTATGTGTAGTTCACTGTTATAATCAGTTGAGGAAAACAAAAACCTTGGATTAAAAGCTGTCACTGTCATCTTCAGTGACTTTATGAACTGCTTTAAAACATGTGCATTTGACAATTAAATTGTTTCTTAAAATTCATTTTGTTGGTATTTGTTCCTTTTAAAAACAGAAAGATTTGAACATATCCAGGACAAATTGTTCGAATAAATTTTAGACAGATTTCCAAGCAAAGAATTTGAAATGTTTCCCTATCCTGGTATAAATCTATTGACCCTGTCATTTCATAGGTAACTACATTATTATAGGCAATTTACAGCTTGTTGCTAAATAAAACCAGATTAAAGCAATTGCTTAAAATTTTATATGTACAAACACGTTAAGAATAATTGCAATGTTCTATTGAAATTTTATAGAAGCATAAGATTGATTAAAAAAAGCAAATACATTTACAACTTTTATAATGTTATATAAACTGTAGAAGCATGCTTAGAACCTAGAATTCCATGATGACATCATTAATAGAAGATGGCTGACAAAGATGTATGACTACAATGTTTTATATTTTATTGACTAAATTTTAGAAAAAAATGTACTATTTTAATCTAGTTTTTCAACAGCA